CGGGGAGGAGGCAGGGATGGAGGATATCAAGTGCATGTGGGCTTCAGGATTGCAGTTCAACCTACCGTACCTACCTACCTTATGCGCGTTGAACACTCAACCCCGCCTTGGACAATGATGAGATACGGGCAAACCTCAAGGAATCTTGAATGCGAAAATCCCTCTGACTATCAGACCTGACAGCTTTTTTTGCTCGAATTTTCTCTTCTCTTTATACCAAGTACAGTGGTCCCATGAGAGAGTGGTGCCATGTAACCCTCACCCTCGCACCCTACGGATCAGCGGATCACAACCTTGATCCCCTTTCCCATGCGAGTGACGTCTCGGATGGTGAGATTCTCCGTGCCAACATTAGGTACATACCTACTTATATATCCACATTGGGTATCTTCTCCAGCGCCCCAGCTACCTAGCCAAGGCGGACGACTGTTTGGCAAGTTGATAATATTCGGTGGCGCTGCAGCTTGTCAAAGTAGTGCGTATGCCTTAAGGCTCGCTATTTTCAAGCGAGGTCGGCCAGAGTATTGCCAGATAATTCAACGATGTCTTGCACAGCTCTTGAAAGGTTTGGGCAAACCCTTACCCTATCATAAGTAGGCGTACATCGCTATTTATCAAACCACAGTCGGAGGTGACAGCCATCAATCATGGTTTAAATTGGTGCTCTCCCCCTAATATCTCTTTCACACCTAGAGACCTTAGACAGCCACAGCTGTCGACCACACCTCTCATTGCTTAGCAGTACGTAGATGTTTCTATTTTCTCTTGTTGTTCCTACCAAACTCAGCATCCTAAAATTGCATTTTTTATAAACAACATGAACAAAAAAAAAAAAAAAACTCTAAAAGCATCTTCCATGGTATGCTCTCTATGTTGTCAGAGGGCTCGTTCTATTTATATGGCCGCTTTCGGAAAGCCGTACTATCTTTCTTTCTGATTCTAAGATTGAGGTGTTCAGCATTTCACAAGGAAAGATTGAGTTTTCTAGGTGAGCCGTCATGTGAAAACCATGGAAGGCTTAACTACCTAGGTACCTACCTAGGTATCTACCTTACCCACCCAGGCGTCTTGGTTGTCATATTTTAGGTGCCTAACTGATCTCTTTGCCACCTTAGTCAGCGTTGGATCAAGTAGGTGTTCCAAATGGTACCGTCCTTCCGATATGGCTGAGAGGATAGTAGTGGTGGACTGAGCAGTGGCCGTGGGCCCGCGTGGGAGAAGGTGGTTGGCTGGCTGGCTTGCCTACCTTGAGGCAGGCATATATAAATACATTTGCTAGTTACTTAGCCTTGAAACCCGTTTGTTGTTTGCATGCAATTTTTACTAAAACGAGGGCTGTTTGGTGGCAGCGCCTGAATAAAACAGCAGGTGGTAAGCGTGTAAGAGTAAGGTATGTATGTACATTACCAAAATGGGCAGAGTACTTATGGGTCGACAAGTAAGTACAAACAAGCCAAAAATGAATTCCGTCAAAAGACAAGATCAGAAGATGATGTTGTTTTTATTATCGTATTCAATGCACCTCCTTTGTTTTCCGCACCCAAACAATGCACCCGATACACTTCTTACACCTTGCACACCTTACTCGCCTTACTCACCTTCCCACCTTACACACAATCTCCACCCCGATCACACCTTAGCTACACCTACCGCTCCTTGTACTACGCCATTATACTTACCACACTTCATCACGTGAACTTTTCTCAAAAGAAGAAATCCCAAAATACTCTCATCAGATCTCTTTCTTGGCAAGGAACTTTTCCACCTGCATCTTGTTACTTACCCAGATCGGAAGGGGGTTTCGGACGGGCATCGGTGGGTGGATCGGGGCAAGTCAAGTTTTTGGAAGGACAAATTTGTCCAATCAGAAATCACGGCGCCTCGCACGTGCTTTGATGCTTCTTCAGAACTCCATCAGCCCTGCGCTATTACGTGCTTTTGCATTGCTACCTTGGTGTGCTAACCACTTTAAAAGTTCCTCGTGTTTTACTTCCTACTAGAATAACGGCCCGAGCCCATCAAGATCTTCCCGACAGTAGGGTGGTTGTGCTCCGCGCACCAATCAATACAGGGCTGAGCATCACGGGGGCTCAAAATCCAGGGGGAACAATGAATGCGATTGGCGAGATCATGAGAGTACTTTTGAAATTTATCAAGCCATGTAACGTATTTGCCGGGGCTAATAAGGCTTAGAGATCAAGATTTCAAAATGTATGTACGTACCTTATGTAGGTACCTACATACCTACCTATCTGATCGCGCCCACCCACCAATCACAATGTGCTAAAGTGGCTTGCATCTTCTCACGACCACCAGATATTGCCTAAAGACATCCAAATTGGCTACCGAGATGGGCACGTGCCCCCCTGACTATCTACTGATATCACGAAGCTAGTGATGTAGTTAGTTGCGATCTAAAGGAAAAATGTGACCCTCACTTAGTGCCCTCAGAGGAGAGGTTTTATGGGTATAGGGATTCCACATTCTTCGAGGGAGGCACCAATGATCTGGTTGGATACAAGCTCGTGTATCTATGCCAAGACCGAATATTCCGTGTTGGTGTTGTTGCGATTGTTATCATTAACCGCCAGGCTGAAGATTCTGTGTCGCCCGGATGCCTTCTTAAGGACGCGATCGCCGCCCGCTTGCCGTCATCTCAGAGACGAAACCATCCAACCAACCTTCCCAACACCTTCTCTCTGCATCATTTCGCTCAACGGGAAAGAGTATCTCCCCGGCCTTTCCAACACTCCTCGAAAATGAAGTTCTTCGGACAGGCCCGCTGCGGCGGCTCGGATTGGCCAGCTGCGGCCCTTTCCAACACTGCCTTCTTCCTGCTCACCTCTGTGTGCGCCGGCCGGACGCTACCTGTAAACATCAGGGACTGTAAGTCACCTCATTCCCCCAGCGCCTCACACTCCCTCCCAACCTTCAATCGTTGCTAACCGGTACTCATCCCTCGCCTCGCTTCAGCCGTGTCACCCATGACGCCCGACTATGAGGTCAAGTTCCTCCTCAACTCGTCCCTCATTCTCTCCCCCGGAACAACGGTACCTACCGACGCGCTGCTGTCGGCCTTCTCCGTCGAGGACTCCATCAAGCTATATGTCCAATACGTCGACACGCCCGCCAAGGACATGTACGCGGCCGGCTGGTCGCCCCGCATCCGCAACAAGGAGGGCAAAAAGGGCTGGGAGCTGACGTACAAGAAGCGGTACCCGGTCGACGACGACGGGAACAACATCCCCGCCGAGATCACCGACGCGCTGCTGATCGCCATGCAGGACGGCTTCGACGACTCGCACCCAAAGTACGAGGCCGAGATCGACTGGGGCCTCGAGAAGAAGACGCTGTCCATCAGCCGCAAGCACCAGGTCAAGGAGGACGACATCAGCAAGAGCGACATGACCATGCCCGACGTGGACCAGTCGCGGGACGTGCTGAGGGACGAGGCGCCCGACAAGTTCAACGACTGGTCCTCGGACGGGTGGGGCAAGGACCTGCTCAAGACCGCGATCCTGTACGGGCCCGTCTTCGCCACGCGCTACGAGGGAAGCTGGGACGGGGTTGACGTCGACATCGAGGTTTGGCCGATCAAGAAGGCCCGAGGCTCCGACGAGATGGAGAACATTGTCGAGGCTTCGTTCACGGTCGACGAGGAGGCCGACGCGGCCTCGAAGCAGCAGAGCCTGCGCGCGTTTTTGCAGGACAAGGGCTGGTTCGTGGCCCAGGATTCGCTCAAGACCCAGCTCGTCATGGACCGGTATGGACCGTCGTCTTAGAGGAGTTTTCCTGAGAGGGAACCGTGTGGGTCTCACGGTCCAGATCAGTGTTACGGGGTTTTTTGGATGGAGAATATAGATAACTGTGCTGAGGGTGGAGCTGGGGAAAAAAGGTTTGCCAGGGAAAATAGGTAGACCTGAGGTAGGTATTATGCAGTTTGGCAGACGTGTTTTGCCGAGGTAGATTTGTCGGCGGAGACAATCAGTTTGTCACATCATGTCATTATAGATCATGCTCTCTTTGCACCTGAATCTAGAAACTATGATGAGTTCATCTACTCCCACGAAGCAAAGTCTGCCCTGCACTAGGAAGTATCGGTTTTTTTGAAACCAGGATCTAATAAATTTTTTAAATTTTTTTTCGGACACTACCTCCCTTACGGAGTAATTATGGGTGATGTCTCGACTACCCTTCGAGGTTTGCTTTACCGTACATTAAGTCCCGTTTTTTACTGAGTAAATCGTCCGCTGGCAATAAGAAGGCAGAGAACGGAAATAATTTAGTTTGATTTTCTTTGTGTTCGCGTCACCACCCTTGAACGCCTTGCCCCCCTTGGCTCAGGGGTAATTAGAACCTGGCTGATCGAAGCTTTCTGGTAACATACTTGTGAGATATGACAGACTGAAACGTGCGTCTCTTCGGAAGCTTTGCTAATCAGGTTGCTAAAGATAGCCCGGCGAAGCGCCAGAGGGTGTTCCTCAGGGGCAAGCTGCATGACCGCGCAGCGATCCTTCCGTCAGGTGAGCCCACAATTCTCAGACTGGGCCCAGGTTTGTGAGGGGACTATCTAGCCCTTCAAGTCGTTGGATGTCGAAAAAGGGATGCTGAGGCACTGAATATGACCACGACTCTTTCAGATCTTGGTGTCCGCGGCCCTCTTATTGGCCATGCAAGTTCTCAGGGGCAATGAGGGTTTTCAATAATGGCGAATGAAAATAGGACTCGATGGGAACTCCTGAGGTGCCATCTAGGGCTGCCAGGCTGCGCGCCCCATGGGCCTCATGTGAAGCCTATCAGACAGTTGGTGGCGTGGGCATCAAGGGGTATTTCGAGTTGCAAAACGTGACTAAAGGGGCATGGCGCCCAGCTACAGGTCAGGTACCTATCGCCACCAACACAAGGATGCCGTGCTCGCTGACCATGCATGCATCAGGTGAAGGCGGGGAGGAATGCATATCATGTGCCTCAAGTTGCAAAAGAAAAGAGAAAAAAAGGGATTCCCATACCGGGGTTCGAACCCGGGTCGCCAGGGATCAGCAGAAGTTTGTCTGAAAACCTGGTATGCTAAACCACTACACTATATGGGAGTATCTAATTCGTTGGGTTTGGTGTCGGGGAACGCGCATGATGAACCCATGGCGGAAGTCAAACCTTATCTTGGAGTTCCACTTGCGTCTTTGGAAGGAAAGCCCATCAGGGAAAGCGCGAGAGGAAGTGATGACTCGACGGCTCTGCCCGGACATGCAGGGGAAGCCTATCGAACGACGGACAGCTGTAGGGGGCACACCTGCGCCTGCCATTCCTGTAAAACACCAAAGCCAGAAATGATCCTGGCAGCTCTCGATTTTCACCAATGAAGGCATCTCCGATGATTCTATTCCAATATCACAAACAACGACTCACTAAAACAAAAATAAAGAAAAATTACACTTATGCGGTCATCACCAGGGCAGGAGGTCCTGGACAGTCATGGGTGTTGCCAAGCTTTCGGTCTCCATCAGCTCTTAAATGCACACTTACATAATCAACCACACCCCCGAATCCCGACAGTTCGGGTCCGAGCCCGGGAAAACTGCCGTCCTCTCGCTTCCGTCCGACACTTGAAATAAGAAAACGCCACAACACGAGACAAGCTGTTTAGTCTCCCGACCATGCCGCACGCCATCGCAAGGCGAAGAATAGTGTTTAAGTTGCGCCGCACACTACTGCTAGTGTAGACCCGCCGAGCCGGTTTGACTTGTTCAAACCCTCCTTCCCCTCCGACCGTGGCAGCCACACATATTTGCAGCAGAAATGTTCTGGTGGAATGCTTTCCGGGTATTGGGGCGCCCAAAGGCGCTTGCGCTTGGATGCGCCCTGCAGTGTCAGTCGGGGAAGCCCCATGCGTCTTTGCCTCTTTGTTACTTTTTGGGGTAGTTATTTTTTTTCTTTTTGGAAATTTCAGCCGACCTGTAGCCAGGTAGCAGGTATGTATTTTATCCGCAGCGCCACCCCGGCATCCGGCGTCTCCTCAGCATATCTCCGGCCCTTATTCCGTGCCTACCTTATACACCCAACCCCAACTCTAATTCCGCGCACACACACACACACACACACACACACACAAAACACCCCGGCTTTTATTCCGGACACAACAACCCCGGAACAACGATCCCTTGCCATAATTATTCCCCTTTCGTCTACGTATGCGCACAAGGCCCACACAGAGTTTCGTTTCTTGTTGGTAAAATAAAAACTTGGCACTCGCCAGGACATGATGATGAATTACACGCCACTTCCATGCCTGCTAGCCGGTAATTATACTCCACCCAAACGGAACCAACACGTTCACACACACGCAGGCACACAAACACGGACACGCAATCATCCGACCAACAAGTTAATCTAGGCACCAAAGAAAGAAAAAAAAAACAAGTCTCCTCGAACCAAATCCCACCCACCAACCCCTCCCTTCATCTTGACTAGGTCCCTTCCCACCCTTGTAGATGCCAGGGTTTAGATAGATACCTAGTTACCTAGTACAGTACCTTAGACTAAGTAGGTAGGTAGTTAGGTAGACAGACAGTCTGCCTCCTCCCACCCCCCCCCCCCCCCACACACACACACTCTCTCTCTCCTGCATAGAAGGCTCCTGCATAGAAGGTAACATGAAACCCACACCCCCCCCCCCCACACACACTTTCCTGCATAGAAGGTAACAAGAAACCCACCCCCCCCCCCCCGTTTATTTTTTTTTGTTTCCCCCAACCAACAAAGGTTACACAAAAAAATACCCCACAAGACCATGCGGAAGGAGTTTTAGACTAGATACCTAGTCTAGGTCTCCTTCAGTCTACCGCCAACATCCCCCCAATCCATATTAAACTCCACCCTTGGTGTAGGTAGGTAGGTAGGTAGGTAGGGCTAGAACTTGCTCAGGCCGCCGGTGCTCGCTTGATGACACACTCCTTGTTAAATGTTCTTGATCTGTGATCTCGCGGTTCATTTGATATGTAACAAGTCAGTGTACCGTAATTGGGTCCCATACATACCACACCCCTTCGCAGATCATTTATTGTTGGCAACAGTTACGAAAGACGTTTGAAGACGCGCAGAGCAATGATATAACGGTAAATGCCTGATTTGGTTGAAGAAGGAAAAAAAAAAAAAAAAAAAAAAACGTGTTCGTGAATGGAATTAGATTTCGATCTTGGGAAACAGAATCGTGAAAACAAACTAAAACATTTACTATCTGGTATCGATACAACGCTTTGTCCTGTCTGATCCTCAAACACCATGGTAAACGCCCGACAAACCAGAAAAATAACGCAACCGAATTTCACAAACATTCCTCCCTTCCCGATATATGTACTCGTAAGCCATTTCATTCAAATACAAAATTCGCCTTTCCAAGACGCAGTTGCTGTGATTTGATCAAGCAACTTATGCTCCCAATCAGCTCCTCAGGAGATCGTTCATCCTTTGTCTCAGGCTGACGACCACATCGCCACCCTGCGACCCAGGCCCCGTTTGTGCTTGCCCGGCATTCATCCCACCAAAGCCGCCGTGCTGATCCATAACAACTCGATCCTCAAACATGCCTTCTTCTGTGGGCCTGCCTGGCAGTTCCGAACCCATAATGCCCGCGGAGCCAAGCATAATTCCCAAAACCGCCCGCGCCTCACGTCCGGCCAACAGGCCTTGCGTGGCTCTAGCCCCGTTTGAGGCAGCCGAGGAAATACAGTATTCGCGAGGCAGTCCTAGCGTTTGTTCCACCGTATCTAGTCGTCGGTCCACCGTTTGCGCAATAGCTCGTGCACGTTGAAGGTTCATGGCATATGCAGACCGATGTGAGGTTGACACTTCGACGAGAATGCCGGCGAAGATGGCGTCGTAGATCGAGATAAGTTGAAGGTAGCAAGATACCAGAGTTAGGAGGTATGTGCTACCGAGCACTTGCTGGCCCGAAAAATCTGCGTGGGGCGCCAAGAGTGCTGGGTCCAGTGCTGTTGAAGCCGGCGAGCTGGCTGCTGAGGATCCGCTCGAGTACTGGTTGAACACCTGTTGCGGTTGGTATTGCACTGGGTTGGAAGCTGGGGAAGGCCATTGTGATCCGTGGATGCTGGAATCCTCAGTACTCATGTGCGGCGTTGGTTCGTAATCGCTAAGGCTCGCAGGCGGTGGAGGACTCCCGCCGAGGTCTTCAGGGGCCGTGAAGATGTGGGAGATGGCCAGAAGCTCAGATGTGCTTTTGAGGACAGAGGCCAGCGGGTTGAAGCCGTAGTTGTCCTCTGTAAGGTCCCGGGATGTAGTATTTAGAACGCTAGGGTTCTGCGGCGACGCCTTGATGGCGTACAGCTGTTTTGAGAGGCCCTGTTGTAGACCGGCCAGGAGAACCCCAGGGTCCAGCATGCATGGTGGATTGAAGGAATGCGGGAGATCGCTGACGTGAGGGTGATGATGAACCGTATTGGCTTGCACGTGCATATTGTCAAAACCGAGCGCCTCCATACCCGGTGGTGGTGGTGACGTGTATCTCGGAATTGACAAGGCGGATACTCGAGGATCGACCGGAGCGGTGGTCGGATTATTGAACGGATGCGTCGTGTCATATAGTAGTGAACCGTTGTCGCCCGCGAAGCTGCACGGGTCGATGCTGTATTGTTCAGCTGGCCAGGAAAGTGCCAGGATGTCGTCCTCGATCATATTGGAGCGCCCATCATCTGGGTAATATGACCAAGGAACGTAGATCGGGCCAATGTCAGAAGATGCCTGGCCAGCAAGAGCGAGCGGCATGCCTTGGTGTCCGGCTGTGCCAGCAAGTCCGGGCTGTCGATACCGCTCGCCACACAACGGGGCATCGCTGATGACAGGTCTTCGATGCGCCAGACGACCCGGTGGTTTGGCAGGGCTCGTAAAGCATGGAAAGCGTATGCGGAGACATCGTGTGCAAGGTGTGCTTGTGTCGTCTTCCTTCTTGCGGGTACAGCGGAGCTTCTGGCTACGGCAACGATCACAGGCAGATCGCTTCCAGGGAGAATGGCTCCGAGCTTCGGGGGCAGCCGCCGATTCTGATATCGCAGCAACGCGTGACGACATGTTGCGATGTGGTTTGTGGGAGCCAAATCGGCATATGGGGAATTTTCAGTGTGTCTTGGAAAAGGGAACACCATGCACAAGTGGTGTTCGGCAACGCTTCTGATTCCGCGTGGACACAAGGATGGCGGAACTCTGGGTCTATATCAGTGTCCTCGGGATGGTGGCGTGAACAGGGGTGTCGGTGCTCGGCCACTGTCTGGCAGAATCCATAGACCGGCAGAGTTGCGGTGCTGACAATACCTTTACAATAACCATGCGCCGCTCCTTACAGTCGGTTCAGGTACTATGTGCTGGGCCGCCTGGTGGTTTCGGGGAATCGGGTTGGTACTTGGAGACCGCCATGTGCGTCAAAAGTGCTGCTTGGCAACAGGGAGGAGCGTTGCTTGCGAGGGGAGCAACCCAAGCATCTGGGATCTCGACGATACCCGTGTACCTTGAAGGGTAGCATTGGAAGCTTCAACATGATAAAGAGAACGGCCAAATTCCGGAGCCGTCGGCGGGGTTCGTGGTAAATGCCGCGTGGTCTCGCTATTTCGGTAGCTCATCCCCCCGAAGTCCCATACTGCCGCTGAAAAAGAAAGGAAAACGCCTTGTCGACTATCGTGTGAGGGTGCTCCATCGTGCAGAAGGGAATGGGAGTGATTTGGAGCGGACGGGCCTTGGCTGAACGATGGAATGGAGGGCAGGTTACCATCGCGGTAGTGCTGTGCCGTGTCCTCGCCTTGGCAGCTGTGCCCTTCCCCCACCTCACACTTGACCCAGGGAACAGGCGCTGCACGGGAGACACCGGGCCAGGCAGGGCAAAACAGCACATGAGATGAAATGGGGAGACCTGGGAGGTTTTGCAAAGGCCGCTACCACGCTGTATATAGATACCGATTTGTTTTTTTGAATTTTTTTTTTTGTTTTTTCTTTTTCGCAATAGACTCCTAAGAAAAAAAAAAATTAAAGGAACAAGAAAAAAGAAAAAGAAAAAAAAGTGATTGCTCAGGTTGCGTGGGCGGGCGAT